GTTTCCTGTTTAACTCCGAGGTCACGATAAGAAGCAGGAAGAAGATTCTTTCAGTTCGTTTGAGGGCGGCACGGTGGGTCAGCTGGTAGAGCTGGCACCTCTCAGCTAGCAGGTAGCTGGTTCAAGTCCCGGCCCAGGGCCTTTCTGGGTGTCTGCATGTTCTCTCTGTGCATGTTGGACTGATTGGTGACTCTAAATTGTCCCTAGGTGTGAGAGAGTGAATGGTTGTTTGTCTCTATGTGTCCCTGTGATGGACTGGAGAAATGTCCCCATGTCTGTTTGATGGACTGGAGACATGTCCAGGGCATCCCCTACCTCTCGCACAGAGATGGCTGGACATGGGCACTAGTGTCCCCGGCGACCTGAAAAGGAAGAAGCGGGAAAAGATACTCGATGGATGGATAGATGGATGATGGATGTTGGATGGATGATGGATGGATGATGGATGTTGGATGGATGATGGATGGATAGATGGATGATGGATGGATAGATGGATGATGGATGGATAGATGGATGATGGATGGATAGATGGATGATGGCTGGATGATGGATGTTGGATGGATGATGGATGGATGGATAGATGGATGATGGCTGGATGATGGATGTTGGATGGATGATGGATGGATGGATAGATGGATGATGGCTGGATGATGGATGTTGGATGGATGATGGATGGATGATTGATGGATGACCTTTTCTGATGATGAAAGTCGATGAAGCAACAAAACGTTTTAGCGACTGACGAAGAGTTCTCTTGTTGTTTATCAGAATAAAACGTCTGAGCTGTCGCTCTGTTTGTTTTAAGGAAAAGTCTCCGGCTGCGGTTTCTTCGGCTGCGTTTCCTTCGGCTGCGTTTCCTTCGGCTGCGGTTTCTTCAGCTGCATGGCCTCCACGCAGCCCAGCTGCAGCCGAGCAGACGGGCTGGTCTGGACTCCGGCTGCTCCCACGGTACAGAAACGTCCCGTCTTTACTCTGCTGACATTTTCTGAACGTTCACGTCCTGAAATCTGAACTGAAGCAAACAGGAAGAACTTGGAACTGAAGAACCTAAAATTATTTACAGCCGTAATAAATCTGGTCTATAAGCCGCTACTTTTACAGATTATTCAACGCTGTGACTCATTTATGGAGAAAATCTGACGAGCTAACGTTTAGCTTCGTCACACCCGGGCGCAGCGGCACGGCACAGGTTTGTTTAATTTAGTTTTATTTTCCGGTGCGCTCTATAGACCGACAATTACGGTAAATACGGTAAATCATAAATAACCAATTTTACTTGTTTATTTGTTGGTTTTGAAGTGTTTCCAAAAGAAATAACGTTAAATATACTCCCTGAGGTTCTTTAATCAAAATTACATGGACTGTCATGTAACTGCTCATGTCTGCTTGTTCATTAGTCTGTCTGTTAGTAAAATATTTAAACCGAGTGAAAACGTCACTCGAATTATTGGAGACTCATTTCAAGATGGCCGCCACATCTAAACTGAATTCGGGATACAAAATAAAAAGTTTCCAAACGTTCACAGATGTGGTGAAGTTTGACGTGGTGGTAGCTGAGAGTCGCTCGCGGCGCAGGCTCCAAGCGCTGAAGAAGAACCAAAGATTTTACACGTTCGTAAGAACGACGTCTGAAGAGAAAAACGTCTCGACGCCATTTTTGTTCTTAACGTCGGCTGATTGATCTCTGCTTGTTGCTGCTTTTTATTTTATTTTTATTTACCTACTTTTGTTTTTCATGTGCAGGACACAAACCAGCCTTCAGCTGCCTGTTTCGAACGTCTCTACCACCCGTTGGACGCCTCCAGGAAGTACAAAAACATCTCACATACCAGCTAAAACCTTTACCAGCCGAAATACATTTCTGCTTTTTGAACAAAAACTTTCTTTCTCACAAAAGAAAAGAGTCCAAACGAACGGCTTAAATTTACAGAACAAGCTGAAACTAAGTTATTGAGCATGCATCAGGATAAGTTAAAACTTCTAAGCTGAAAAGTAGCTAAAAGAAGCAACACATTAGCTAAAAGCTTACAACAGAACTCAAAAAAAGAACAGAAGCTAAATGTGGTAAAAGGCTAGCTAAAAGCTTAAAGTAGAAAAATGCTACCTTTGAATAAAAAAAATGATAGCTAAAAGTAGAAAAGGGCTAGCTAAAAGCAAAAGTTGCTAAATGCTAGCTAGCTAGCAACTAAAATGAGGAACTGCTAGCTAAAAACTAAATGTTACATACCAATAGCTTAAAGCTAAAAGTACCAAAAACTAAAAGCTAAAGTAGCTAAACACTAGCTACCTAGCAACTATGAAGAGACAAATGCTAACTAAAGCAATGTTACAGACCAATAGCTTAAAGCTAAAAGTAGCAAAAACTAAAAGCTAAAGTAGCTAAACACTAGCTATCTAGCAACTATGAGGAGACAAATGCTAACTAAAACAATTTTACAGACCAATAGCTTAAAGCTAAAAGTAGAAAAGGGCTAGCTAAAAGCAAAATTGCTAAACTTTAGCTAGCTAGCAACTAAAAGGAGACAAATGCTAACTAAAACTAAATGCTACAGACCAACAACTTAAAGCTAAAAGCAGTGAAAGGCTAAATAACAGCTAAAATTAGCATTTGAATCAAGGATTTGATGAGATCTTTACGTTCTCCGATGGGGAAAATATTTATAAATAAACTGAAAATTTTGAAAACTTAAAAGTTACAAAGACCAAAGGTCACAGCTGAAGGTTTATGAACAGCTAAAACAGCCGAAGTCTGCAGAAGGAGTTGGATTGTAAAAACCGTACAGGAAACTAAAAAGCGCCGACACCCTTTAAAGATGGGTTCTGTGGGACAGTGGACACAAACTGGCTGCTTTGGACACTAACACCTTTGTCCTGGTTCTCCTGGTTCCGTAGCGTTCCACCGGAGGACCTTCTAGAGAACTCGCTGATCATCCATGAAGCTCTGAATATAGACCTGCCTCCCCACCTCGTCCTCCAGGCCGTCCAGGACAGAACCAGAACCCACAGCTGCTCTTATTTGTCTCTGAAGGATCTGGTGGCGGACCTCTTCGACTCCAACAGGTTCTTCTCAGCGGAGGACCAGGAAGTCCCCATGGAGACGGACCAGCTGGAGGAGGCCATGATGATGAACAGCGCCGTGGTGAAGAAGGTTCTCAGGTTGGGGGTGTCGCCAGACCTCATCAAGCCTCTGGTTCGGGCCAGAATATTATCCAGGGGCGCCGGCTACACCACCGTCCGTGAGCTGATCGCAGACGTGAACAAGAATTAAAGATGTGACAAAAAACATTATCGATAAAGTTTTACTGTCGGCGCTGACGGTTTTTACCAAAACCGCCGTGACTAGATTCAAACTGCAGACAAGAGAAACTCAAACCTGTTTGTTACGTTAAGTTTTACAGACATGGAGGTAAAAGATGTAAAACTTTAAACATTATATTCTTGACACCAAAAGACGTCTGTTGAAAAAGTTTATTTCACGTCTTTAAATCCACCACCAGCTGATTTAACGTACAAATATCTGTATGTACAATTATCTGTATGTACAACTATCTGTATGTACAAATATCTGTATGTACAAATATCTGTATGTACAATTATCTGTATGTACAATTATCTGTATATACAAATATCTGTCTGTACAAATATCTGTATGTACAATTATCTGTATGTACAAATATCTGTATGTACAAATATCTGTATGTACAAATATCTGTATGTACAATTATCTGTATGTACAATTATCTGTATGTACAAATATCTGTATGTACAATTATCACACAGAGACATGTAGGAGGAGATGTATGAAGGCAGCAGACCAGGAAGTGATTTAAAGATGAAAATGTACCAGTGGGAGAGTCTGCGTGAAGTTAATGGTGACCAGTTAACCAGTGAATACTGGGTGCAGTGGTGGGTACGATAATCACAGCCAGTTATGAATCTTAGTGCACCATGATAGACAGCATCCAACATCTGCAGCATCCAACATCTGCAGGGTTCTTGTAGGAGCGTTCATGTAAATAATGTCACCATAATCAATGGAGGGAAGGAAAGTCACAGATACAAGGCGTTTTCTAGCATTCAGAGTTAGACAGGATTTGTTTCTGAAAAACAAACCCAGTTTAACTCCCAGTTTCTTTAACAAGTTTTCCACGTGGAGCTTAAAAGAGAGATGTGAGTCGACCAAGATACCCAAATATTTATAGGAATCAACAAACTCAATGGGGACACCATTTGAGGATGAAATCAGAGGAAGAACTGCTGGGACCAACTTCCTGTTTGAAAAAAAACATCCCTTTGGTTTTATCGGCATTTAGGACAAGTTTGAGGTGAAACAAATCTGTCTGGATGATGTCAGATTGCAAAAGCTGGAAAGCCTTAGCAACTGTTTTAGCTCGACAATAAACAACTGTCATCAACATAGAAATGTAAGGATGCATTAGGGATGATCTGACCTACATTACCTATGTAGATTGTAAAGAGAGTGGGTCCTAAGACTGAGCCTTGTGGTACGCCATTGCTGACTGTTAAATATCTGGAGGAAATACTATTATGTTGAACACATTGCCGCCGATCTGAGAGATGGCTAGAGAACCAACCAATGGTGTGTTCTGAGAAACCAATTTCTGAGAGCTTATGAGAGCTTAAAGGGGTCCTAGGAACAGAGGAGGACAAGAAGAAGGAACTAAGTCTTATTAGAAAAAGGTTGTTTAATATTTACACATAGAAATTAAAAACTGAATTTAGAAAGGAGGCTATGAGTTTTCATGGTCAGTAGGTGGCGGTGTGAGCCTGAACGTTGTTTAAAATCCGCCAGTAGTAGAAGAAGAAAAAGCTCCGCCTTATTTTTATTAGTCCAATCAGATGTGGTCTTAAGAAATGCATTATTTTGTTGGTCCAATCAGATGTGGAACTTGAGAAACGCCTTATTCAATTTGTCCAATCAGATGTGGTCTTTGGCAACGCCTATTCTTCTGTAGAGCTGCCTACTTGGCGCAGGCGCAGTACGTCGAACACACAGACGCGTCTATGATTGAAGAGGTTCAAGTAAAACTGTCCTTTCGTTCCGCTGAGAAAACCGAGAAAACCGACCCAGTTCGGTGGGATTCCCGGTCCACTTGGATCCGCCTCATCAGGTAACACTTAAACTTTAATTCGGTAGGTGTTTTAAACATTAAAAAAATGTTTTATCTTCGTCTAGTTTACTCAGAAACGTCACGTTAAAAACTTGCTCTTGACTTTTTATTTTATTACCTTTTAGAGTTTCTGCTTTTTATTTGTTTTAATCGGTTAAAAAACATGAATTAATGCTGTGTGTGTGTGTATATATGTATATGTGTTGTACTCGGTATGTTTCCGCATGTAATGTCGTTTATTATTACGGTTTTTACGGTAAATTACATGTTTTAAGACTATTTTTAAGGTCAGTTTGTTCCGCAGCTGGACTTGAGTTTGAATCTGAGTCCCGTCTCCTGATTGGCTGCGTTCAGCGTGTCACGTGACTTTAAGCCAATCTACAACTTCCTTGTTAGGCCTTTAGCTCATTTTTAATGTTAATTTGGAAGATGTTGTCACTGTTTTTTCCAGTTGAAAGATAAGTGTTAAATTCTTGAGCGAATATATTTTTTATTTGTTAAAAACGAGAGAGTCTGCGCACGCTGAGGAACGAGCCGTTAGGGGCGTGGACAGTTCTGATTGGCTGAGAAGACTCCGTGACCTCTGATTGGTCAGAAACTCATCGCTGCGATTTTTGAAAAATAAAATTAGATGAAATACTGAAAACGCATTTAAAAAGAGGACTTTTTGGCTTCATCTTGTAAAATATAATTAATAATAATAAAAATAATTATAATAGGAGTTAAAGTTTCATGTCAGTTAAAAACTGTTAAAGATAAAAATTTAGTTTGGAAACTTTTTAAAGATGTCTTTATCTGTAAAGACAAGTGCTAAATTTTAGGTTAATTTAAAAATAAATTACTTTTATTTCTGACTCATAAACAAAACAAAAAATGCCAACTATAAATAACTAATGTTGTTTAATTTCTTTGTCTCTCATATAGTTTTTAAAGGCTGCCAAAAAGCAAAATGTCTCCAATCAAACCCAAGCTTGATCAGGAGACCATCTCCTGTTCCATCTGTTTGGATCTCCTGAAGGATCCGGTGACCATTCCCTGTGGACACAGCTACTGTCTGGGCTGTATCAAAACCCACTGGGATAGAGTGGGTAAGAAGAGAGTCTGCAGCTGCCCTCAGTGCAGGAAGGACTTCAAGCTGAGGCCTGACCTGGTGAAAAACATCATGTTAGCAGAGCTGGTGGAGGAGCTGAAGAAGATTGACCTCCAAGCTGCTCCAGATTATCAATGCTATGCTGGACCTGAAGACGTGTCCTGTGACGTCTGCTCTGACAGGAAACTGAAAGCTGCCAAGTCCTGTCTGGACTGTTTAGTTTCTTTCTGTGAGAAACATCTCCAGCCTCACCATGAAGCTCCACCATTACAGAAACACCAGCTGGTGGAGCCCTCCAAGAAGCTCCAGGAGAACATCTGCTCTTCTCATGATGAGGTGATGAAGATCTTCTGTCGTACTGATCAGCAGTGCATCTGTTATCTCTGCGCGATGGACGGACACAAAGGTCACGAAACGGTGCACGTTTCAGCAGGAAGAGCTGAGAAGCAGAAGGAGCTCGAGGCGAGTCGACAACAAATCCAGCAGAGAATCCAGGACCAAGAGAAAGATGTGA